TACTTTACAAGTAAAACCATTCTCATTTTTATGGTTCTTTTGAACTTTTAATAAACAACAGTGATAGTCAGACCTTACAGCAATCCAATCTGTAAAACAAAAAACAACCACAGACATTTGGTTCATTGCCATATCACTCCCTATTTCATACCATACATGTAACAACATCAGACTTCCCTCCCCCTTATGAAAGTTACATCTCTCAAATATCCCTTTCTGTATAGTGAGTGAAGCTTCCTTCACCTGATACAAAAGGATCCTTTGGCAGTGACACATCACTTGGGCACCATCAGAAGACACATTAAACCTTATTTCAATTGGAACCATCATGCAAGATACCAACCTGAATGGCCACCCACAAGACCAACTTGAAACATGTTAACTTGTTTCCTTGAGTATGAACAGATTAACATTGTCATTCCTTTATGTTTCAATTGATACCACAATCAAAATGCACCAGGTGTACAATATCAACAACATGCACATGGAAGTTCATCATAAAATTACAACCCATAAAATGCTAAAGGCATAAAAAACGTAAGATAAAATGTTTGTAAATCAAACACAAGTTGATTTTATGAAACACTCATTTTTGTCTGTACTTACTAGTATTATCATATTGCATACTTTCTATTTGATGAATTCGACTGTTCACATCATACTGTTTGATAGATGATGGATTCAATACCGGGTAAGAGTTTGTGCTATCTACAGTCATGTGTCTCAAATCTGAAGTTTATTTAAGGAAACAATACTAGTACAAATGTACCACAGGAAGGATTAGGATTTGCATCACATTCACCTATGAGTCTGTCTCCATACGTCATAACATTTGTTTTCTAAACAAAACAAAACAACAAAATGTCTGACTCACTCAGTAAGAGATTAACACTTACAGCTATGACAAGATGTAATCCTCTGCACACAATACACTTACAGCTATGACAAGATGTAATCCTCTGCACACAATACACTTGATTCTGCAAAACAGATCTGGTGTGAATCTGACATGAATCTTTCCCCAACTTCAAGATCATTTGCCTTGTGATATAAAAAACGCACTTGTTTCTTATATGTATTAATAATAGATTCATTAATTTAAAAGTTGAATTCACTGAGATTAAGGATACTAAGTCTGTCCATCAAAGTACCACTTGGATAAACCAACACCCCTTCATTGGAAGAGAACTGAGTGTAACTCAAGCAACCACCATTCAAACAAACATCATATAACTGTAACGGGAGAACAATTCATTTTTCAAAAAAATTAATAACATCCAACAAAAACATAAAATTAATGTACTTCAGTGAAACAAGGTCATTCAAATTGACAACTTTGTTTGGTTGTGTCATCGCACATCAATTAAAAACAAAATGGTTTACCAGTTATGCCAAGTCCCTCATCATGTGACTTAGGTGACGATGTAAGAACACATCTTGTGACTTAGGTGATGTCATACATCTTGTGACTTAAGTGATGATGTCATACATCATGTGATTTAGATGATGTTATAAGAACACATCTTGTGACTTAGGTGACGATGTCATAAATCTTATGACTTAAGTGATGATGTCATACATCATGTGATTTAGATGATGTTGTAAGAACACATCTTGTGACTTAGGTGACGATGTCATACATCTTGTGACTTAAGTGATGATGTCATACATCATGTGATTTAGATGATGTTGTAAGAACACATCTTGTGACTTAGGTGACGATGTCATACATCTTGTGACTTAAGGGATGATGCCATACATCATGTGATTTAGATGATGAACACATCATGTGACTTCTACTCACCAGGTTGAGGGCAGCAGTCTGCAACTCTTCAAATACATAATTGTATAACAAGTCTTGTGGGATTTCATGGAGGAAATCAGATAGGAAAGAATTCAGCCTGGCCGAAGCTTGTTTCGTATAGAATTTATTACATCGTTTATCTTTCTGTTTTGAAAAAAAGTGTTACCAGGGTATTAATTTTCTAATAAGGCTAAGGTCCAATAAAGATATGAGGGCATGTTTTTTTTTAAATATCACATTTATTTTGATTTCATATGAAAAATGAAAAAAGCATTTTTACCTGTGATGCTCAGAAACCTGAATATATAGGAATGGTGGGGGGGGGGGGGGGTAATATGTCTGATCACAATTGTTTTTTTTTCTTCAAAACATGCATACCAGTAATATGAAATTCAAAGCCAATTTCTCGTTGGATTGTACTCTTCTGATTGACATTTAAAAAATAAATACAAACACTATCACACATAGAAAGTTCTTTTATGAAAAAAATATCTTACTTTTTGTTTTGGCCAGTCAGCTTTCAGCAATTTTAGTGATGAGCCAAATCCTATATCAGGGTACTCCTCATACAAGTAACTGAGCTGAAGATCAATATGATAGATGCATATTATTAGTTAGCAAAAAAGGTTACTTCACAAATTTGTTTTACTGACTAATATTATTAAGTTTGTTAGTAACGAATGAATGAAGGAACTCAACAGACTTATGTTTGATAAAATGTATATGGTAATATGTGTTTAATTAGATACGCTGCCTTGTTATGATTTGTCAATTTGAAAGATTGCCCTAATATGGTTGGTCAATTTGATAGACTGCCTTGTTATGATTGGTCAATTTGATAGACTGCCTTGTTATGATTGGTCAATTTGATAGACTGCCTTGTTATGATTGGTCAGTTTGATAGACTGCCTTGTTGTGCACCTTAAGATTGGTTAATCAGCTAGTCTGTCATTTTGGGAAAGGTCAAATTGATTGACTGCCTTGTTATAATTGGCGAATTTGATAGACTACTTTGTTATGATTGGCCAATTTGATAGACTGCCTTGTTATGATTGGTTAATTTGATATACTGCCTTGTTGTGATTGATCAACTTGATAGAGCACCTTAAGATTGGTTAATCAGCTAGTCTGTCATTTTGGGAAAAGTCAAATTGATTGACTGCCTTGTTATGATTGGTTAATTAGATAGAATGCCTAAAGATTGTTAATTAAATAGTCTGCCTTATCATGATTGGTCAATTAGATAGACTGCCTTGTCATAATTGGTCAATTAGATACACTGCCTTGTTGTGATTGGTTAATTAGATAGACTGCCTTGTTATGATTGATTGAATTGACAGACTGCCTTATTATGATTGGTTAATTAGATAGACTGCCTTAGGATTGTTAATTAGATGGACTTCCTTGGGCAATTTGACTGCTTTAATATGATTGCTTAAATTATTCAAAAAATATGGAACTCACATGATCCACGGCTCTGTTTTTGTGTCTCCATTTATATCTACCACCTTTCGGCATTTTATCTTTTTTGAAGTAATAGAAATCATCATAAATGTATTCTTCTGTTGTAACACCTACATATGAATCATAATAAAATGAATCATTGACACCAAGCAATAATATATATTCAAAGAATCATATACATCATGTAATGGCAATATTTATTTACTTATACCACTATTGTTCAAGTGACTCATTGTTCTGTTGGCTGTACATTCATTTCTGTAAATCCATATGTTGCTTTGTCTTCATGCAAATTGTTTTCATATAAAAAGTGTAATTGCTACAGAAAACTGTACATAACTTGTAAATCACTACTGTAACAAGTAATTGCATTACATAGACCCTGTGAGTTCTTTAAGTTTAAAAAATATATAAAATTTTAGAATGAACATGTCAGAGAATGTCAGAGATATGGCTCCAAAACTGCATTCACTAAAATAAAATGGACACCAGTCAGCCATTTTGAGTATGACCTGACAAGCAAAGTGACATACCAAGTTTGAACAAAATCTGTCTATGCATGACTGAGATCGAGATCATGAATTGCAGAAATGCTTGTTTTGAGTTGTTTAACATTAAAACAACTGCAATTTGACCATCTTGAATCAGGTAACCAAAAAATAAATATGCACTTGTGCGACATGATGTATTTCTTTAATTTACTTAATGACTCCATGTGAATGTGAATTTGAGGCTAACATTGAAACTGCACTGCGCATTACATTATTCACAATAAAACTTTGAATAAAAATGTGGTCTCAAGTATTCATACAACTCAATTCAATAATTGGTTTATAACTTTACTAGTGAATTTATATACAATATCCTGATTGTTATCAGTTTTACACCCTTGTAGACAAAACATAGACTTGGTGTCTATGAAATGAACAACACCATCCACATGTATACAGTTTAGAACACACACACCCCGAAAACAGGGATCAGTTCAAAGTTCCTTGAAAAAAACAATGCAGTGATGCAATTTCAAAAAAAAACAAAAAAACATCAAAAAGTTAATCTGCACAAAGTGAACAAAAAATTGTGCCACCTAAGGCAGGCACATTCGGTCTTTTGTTTTTCTTTTGTTTTGAAGTGCAGAAGCAGATCTAATTTTTTTTTTGGTTTTACATGGTATACACAACTTTAGTTCAATTTCTGCCACCATGTTGTGAAGTCCATGAGAGATGACATGATGATTGTGGAACTACATGTATTTTGTATGGAAAATCCTTCACTGACATTTCAAATGTAGTTTGTGTTTCAATGTCCACAGTGTATGCGCAATTCAAGGAGTTACATCAAATGCAGTTTTGATAATGGAACAGGGAGCTCCACAGTTAATCCAAAGTTGAGCTTGAGTATATTCAGTTTTACATGCATCATTTGAAAGAATTTCAAACTAAGCTGATTGATGAAAATGCCTGTTCTATGGACACAAATCCAGATGTTATGACACAACATACACTGTGCTATCATACAAATCTTGGGATGTTATTAGGGTCCACCAGTCCATAAATTATTCACATGACGATTATTATTAGAATAGAACATAAATTGACTTTAACAATTGATGATATTCTGACACTGACTATGTACACTCAGGAGTTTACTAAAACTTTTATCAGCTACAAAGTAATCACCTTTCGGCGACATTGAGTCTACCAGTTGTCTACAATCATACAAAACTGATAACAATTAGGATAATGTTTATAAGTTCACCAGTAAAGTTAGAGACTAAACAGAAAGAAGTGTATAAACATTTTGAGACAGCATTTTAGTTAAAAGTTCTATGTAACAATGGTATTATATTTGACTTTCACATATGGTAACACTGGATGACTGACAAAACTGGACACGACCAACATGAATACAGGGGTCTTTCTAGAAAAAAACTGCAAGAGGGAGCACTACAATTCAGCAGCGCCACCAAGTGAGGAAAATAGGGTTCTCCCTACCAGGGTGTGAAGTTTTTGATAATTCTAGGTTAAAATGGAGCATTCTATAGCTTCCTTGGGGCGAAAATTACTATCAGACAGGTCACAGCTGAAGACTGTGGCCACATGTGATCCCTGGTCAATCAGAATTTTATGGTTGTCAGATGACCTGCTCCCCAGGGTAGGGGGCGCATGGCCATGGCATGAGGGCGCAAGCAACCCTGTTTCCTTGTTTAAAAAAAGGCCGAGTCTCGTGCCACGCCCGTGGCAGGAGACAATATGGCTACTGCCACGGGCGTGGCAGGAGACAATGTGGCTATTGCCACGTCCCGGAAGTAAACGTACCGACGTTCTATGTGTAGTTTCGGTCGTCATATACAGATTTTTCACTTGTTTTACCATCGGTGTTTGAATAAAATACTTTCACAGTGGTGTCGTTGTCAGAAATAATTTCAATTCCCGCATTTTATATGAAAATGTGAAGTCCAAGCATTGACGGAACCTTTGTACGCCCTCCGGTGTTGGGAACTTGGAACACTACGTTTACCTAAAAACAACCTCGGCGTTTATCAATCTAGTAAAACTCGCGAATCACCGTCGGCGTTTTGATAAAATACTGTTACAATGGTTTCATTGTCGTGTACGGTAGAAATAATTTTAATTCGCGCATTTTTTACTAGCCATTGCCGGAACCTTTGTACGCCCTCCGGTGTTGGGAACTTGGAACACTACGTTTACCTAAAGCCAACCTTGGAGTTTATCAATCTAATAAAACTCGCAAATCACGGCGTCGTTATATAACGAAAATACACTTATATTAAAATAATTTTCTTCAGGAGATATGTTACTTGGTTTCTCTGGAAACTAGTAAATCAAATTACTTCAGAAATGACTAGGTAGTGAAAGCATGAACATGTATTGAGAAATCATTACATAGCCTTGTAATTTAACATGCACTGGTTTAATTAATTTTCCCATTTAGGCGGGGACATTGATTTCCTTATCTGATCATCTTGGGTCAGTATTATTAGAATGCTTTTAATTATTATCACAATATACCAACTACTTTGCTGTACAACACATTCACCATTCTATGAATATTCTTATGTTGTCATCATCATTAAATGTTTATGCATTGCTATGTTCAAACAGCTTCACATTTGGTTATTACACATGTACAATGATTTAAATGAAAATCTACAGAACCATAATGAATTTCAAATAATAAACTAACCTATATTTTGTATGAATAAACTATTTTGTTTTCTCTTCCATAACAGGAATCCATGTGCATAGTTGTGGCTATACATACACATATGAGAGATGCAATGTTCACTGTAAGAAGGAATATGCTCACCACTGTGAAAGTATTTTATTCAAACACCGATGGTAAAACAAGTGAAAAATCTGTATATGACGACCGAAACTACACATAG